GCTGTGAAAATCCAGGTCTCACCAATTACAAAAAATATCGCTTTTTCCACAATACCCCTATGCTTTGTAGTGAGAGGTAAACTTTCTTCCTGATATCCTGACATTTCCCCTCCCTTCTGCTCTCTTCCTCTTTCTTTTAAAATATTTCCTCTTTCCATTCTTAACATGCACCTCTCCCCACTTCTCAAAGCGTTTTCTACATGTTTTAATGATAACGTCGGTACCCTCTTCACACTCTTGTCCCACCTTCATAGAGCCCTTCTGGGATTCTTAGGTCTGAGTACCCCCATTTTGCAGTTGAGCAAGTGAAGCTCAGAGAAGGGAGGTGACTTTTCTGGGCTCACACAGCCTGAAAGATGCCAATTTAAGACTCAAAAGCAGCCTCTGGAATCCCCATTGATGTTGTTCTCTGTCACATCAGTACCCAGCCCGGTGCCTGGTGTGGCTTTCATTCTAGATGCCGTGGCTCATTTGGATTCTGCCCCAGGAGCCTTCAGGCTTCATCCTGCCTCTTCAGTTGACCGGCTGAGTTATAAGGTCATCTGATGTTTAATGCGCTCCACCCCTGCCCAGATTCACTGAAAAACATTACTTTCTGTTCTTTTTAGAGTGACTGAGCATGATTCAGGTAGATTATATTAAAATCCTCAAGACAAATAGAAGGATCAGAACTACAAGAACTATCTTTGCAAAAAGTGCCTGGAAGAAGGTCTCCTTATGTAGATGAGGAAAGTGGGACCAGTGAAGGGACACACACGCTGGATGTAGGGGCATCTGTGTTTGTGTCTGCCACTGTCCTGTCTCCTGGTTCTGGTAATAACACCTTGGTTTTCCTTTGGGGAGCCAGCTAGCTTTGCCAGATAAAATGCAGGAGACTCAGTTAAATGTGAACTTCAGATTAAACAACAACAATTTTTTTTTAGTATAAGTATATCCCAAACATTGCATGGGACATACCTATACTAAAAAATGATTCATTGTTTATCTGAAATTCAAATTTAACTGGGCATCCTGTATTTTCCTTTGCTACTTCTGGCAGCCATGACACCTCTTAGCTCAAACGGTTGGCATGGGACTGATCCACTATACCTTGGCTCCAGGAGCCGGCAGGTGATCCAGGCTCAGCCAATCGGCGCATTCTATCCCTCTCACCCTTAGGGATTATTTCAGAGATGGGGATATGAGCTTCAGTTCTGGAAATCTGGCTTGCACCATTGAAAAAGAGATTCTTTCTTTTTCTTGAGGTTGCTAAGCTGTGAACGGCAGCCCTTGGAGTCCAACAAATGAGAATCTGCTTAAGAATGAAGCCAAGAGAGAGGAAAACAGTTGAGAGATGGAGAGAAAGAGAGAGGAGATTAAACCTTAAAGACACCATTGGGGGTCCTGGGAACAGCCTCACTGAATTTTACCTTCATCTAGGTCCCTACTCTTGATGGAACAGTTAACGACTGTTTCGTGAAGATAATAGCAATAGTGTGATGGAGTTGAAAGCAAAGCCATCAGTGGGGATGGCTGTGGGAAAGATCACTCTTAATCAAGATGGCGGCTGAAGGAGTGATGGAGTAGAATGGTGTGCAGAATCAAGGGGAGGCTGCGTTCTTGCTGGTCATAGCTCTGTTCCGGGTGCTGATGCTGCTAATAACAAAGATGAGGATGCCAATGATGAGGATTAAGATGGCGTTGGTAAGGGGGAATAAAGTAATAAGGAAAAGAATAATTCTCAACCCCAGTCTATCAACCAGGTCCTATCAATTCTGCCCCACTCAATTTTTAAAAATATCTATTCACTCCACTTCCTACCCACCGCTGTCACCACCCCAGCCCAAGCCACCGGTATCTCTTGCTGCGTCTACTGCCATGTCCTCCTAACTGGCCTCCTGGCCTCCCTGCCTGTCCCCTACAGTCCATGCTCCACACTGAAGCCAGTCAGGGGAGTGAGATTTTTAGAATGTAAATTAGAGCCTTTCACTTCTCTGCTCAAAACCATTCCGGGGCTTAGACTAGAATCCAAACCCTTTATCATGGACCTCAAGACCTCCAAGACCTGTACCCCCATCTCATTCCCTCTGCTCGCTCCTCTCTCACTGTCTTCTAGCCTCATTACTCTCCTTTCAGTTTTTCTAGAATGTACCAAACCCTTCATGTAAGCCATCCACTAGGCATGAACTGCCTTTATATCCTTCATGTCTCAGCATCAAAGTCACCTCCTGGATTCTGAGTCCAAGTGAGACCTCCGCTCTGTTACTTTCTCCCACAGCACCCTGTTCTAGGCACACTTTGTTGAATGCTTCCCTCTCCAGTTCAACTTTTGGGTCTTGGCACAATGTTTCCTTAAGAGTGTGTCAAAGGAATGCCAAGATTTTGAACTTTCAGCCGTAAGGGCAGCTCCAGGGGCTTTTGGTAGCTGCAGCTCCTGAGGCTGGTCATCTCCAGCATCTAGAAGCCTCTTCCATTTACCCCTGTGTGCC